GTCCACCCTGGTTTCATCTTCATCATCCTGCCAATGTAGATGCAGGACTGAAGCAGCTAATATTAATTTACACTGATGAAACGCAGAGGGTTGCTGGATAACTACTGAGAAATTTCAGCTGCTGTCTGGGCTTTCACTGACTTTCTACACCTTCTTTTCTTCATGTGTTCTTTACTTTTTTCATGTGTTATTTCATTTTATTACACATAACTTAATTTGTAAACTAATTCAATTTGTTTTCATTGCTTATATGAATTTCTTTGATTGTTACCAACATCCGGGAAAAATTTCAAGTCAACGACACCTTTAGAAATAGGTTTTCTGAGAAAAAAAGTAAGATGTTGAATACTTAACTTCCCTGCTGTATATTCTTTTTAAATGTCAGGGTCTTTTGTCCCCATTGAACACATTACCATTTTATTTTAAACAACATTTATAAAATTTTGGAAAAATAAACATGTCAATCTAAATAATTCAAATAAACCATTGATTTCTGCTATCTAAATTAGTATCAAAAACACCGATTTCTTTACAACTTAAAAAGACACCTTTAATATCTTTCTTTTATGTGGATATAAATAAGTCACTGCACTGTTCAGCTCTATAGGATTTTGGTCTGTAAGTGATTTTTTTTTTTTAGAAGTTTGCTGAATCGTAGGCTGACCAGTAGCTTCTGATGAAGGTATTTTGCTGCTGGAGATACTGTAGCCCTAAGTAAAAAAATAAATGAATAATCTTTGAAAACAAAACAACAACTTGCATATACCTTGAAAATAACTATAACCGATATAATACATGTAGTTATTGTAACATTTTTCCAAACTACAATAGGAAATTGGTTATCGCCCCATGCCTAATGTAAACAATTATTTTGTAAAAGATTTGCTTCAATGTGTGACAAGATAGTGGTCATAAATGGCTACTGAGATTTGCTCGATTAAAATGAGTTACTGAGGTCTGGAAACAGCGTAACAAGAAGATGAAGGCAAAAAAATTTCCAAACTAAATCTTCTACAATTAACTTGTTTAGATGCAAACGAGATGTTAGGTATTTACATTCAGTCCCAGTCACTAACACTTTGCCAGCGGCTGTTTTTAGTTTAAGAACAAAATTAATAAAATGATAAATATTCATTAATTTCAAGTTGGCAGAACAAGATATTGACTTGATCTAATGGAAAAGTCCTTAAACTATCTTTTATCTCATCATGACTCATGGTGTATTTTTTTTCCAAGCAAAGAAAAATGTATGTGGGCTAAAATTATCCTGTCCCTGCTGGAGTTCCATTGACTCACCACTGAAAGACGTTTTGCCTCCTGATGTATGTTCAACAGCATTTTAGATGGAGGTGGGTGACAAGGTATTTATTGTTTTTAGTTGAAGTGGATCTCCTTATTCCAAAACCTCTAGCTGATTTAGTTTACTGTGAATCATAATTTGCGTATATTACAATGAAACACTCCATACACATTGAATTAAGTTCTCAGTGTTTCCTTTTATATAAGCACTTATGAACCGATGATTTTATCCACAGTGTCTCTGAGGTCATTCACACAGGATGCTTTCTTGTTTCCATCTGTTTTTTAAATGGATTTTTTCTACATAAACAGCATTAATCAAAAGCATCAATTAGGGAAAAAAGATAAGAAAATGTTGTTGTATACAATACAATCGAGATTCTCATTACAAAAATATTCTCTGTCCAAAAGCTCTAGTTTTCTAGCTTTTTCTAGACTATTTAAAATCTCTGTGTGAATAATTACCATTATGAATTATTATTTGAACCAGTTATATTGACTAGACCTAAAACTAATAATGGCAGCACGGTGGCTCAGTCTGTTGCACAATCGTCTTATAGCAAGAAGGTCGCTGGTTCAAGTCCCGGCTGTGTCAGTTGGCATTTCTGGAGTTTGCATGTTCTCCCCGTGTTTGTGTGGGTTTCCCCCACAGTCCAAAGACATGTGGTACAGGTGAATTGGATAAGCTAAATTGTTCGTAGTGTATGTGTGTGAATGTAAGAGTGTATGGGAGTTTCCTGATGTTGGGTTGCAGCTGGAAGGGCATCCGCTGCGTAAAACATATGCTGAATAAGTTAGCAGTTCATTCCACTGTGGCGACCCCTGACAAATAAAGGGACTAAGCCAAAAAGAAAATGAATGAATGAAACTAATAATGAACATTAGCTGATTTTAGAATGCTGGTACTGTAAAAAATTAATGATTTATTGAAGAGGACCTGTCAGGTTCTCAGAAATACACATTGTTATACGATTGATGTGGTCTATATAATGACGGTGAACTACTAAGATCATACAACTCTAGTTTACTTGCCATATCCACTATTGGAGCAAAGCAAATCTGTACATGAAAATGGAATTCACTACTTTTCTGCACTCAGCCTTTTCAAAAAGCATTTCCTTTTCCCTTAAAAAATGCAGTAAAATCGCAATAAGACATTTATTTACGTCTATTTCATTATTTCCATTAATAATAAATTATTGTTATTAAGATAATAACAATTATTAATTATTAAGATAATAAGATAATTATTAAGATAATAATGAATCTAATTTTGCACAGGCATATTATTATCTCAGAATGACACTCAATATATCAGAAAAACAGTATAATAAACAAATGAACAAATTTAAAATCTGTTATAATAAAAAAAAATGTTAACTGAAGCTAACCAGGACTGCCAGGACCTTACATCACAAGGATGTTGGAAACAACTGTAAAATCCTTTTGCTGTTGTTTTGTTGTATTCAAATATGTATGTATGTTTACAGTGCTCAGCATATATAAGTACACCCCAGAAAAAAAAAAAAAATTTAATTGACATTTTTAATAGGAAGCTCTACAATATTATATTTGTGCATATGCATTATATTAGTCAGTACTGAAGCCAAAATCTGGGGCTAATCTAACAAAATACCTTTTGATAACGGTGCAAAAACTAGTACTACCAAATTTATGTCATAGAAAAATATTAAATACAAATTTTAAAAAAAGAGGAAAAATCCAGAGAAGCAATAAATTCAAAACTTTAGTTGATTTTTTGTAGATTGTAATTTCATTTAATAGTTTCATCTTTAAATTTCTAAATATGTTTGGTGACTAAAATATTATTTTAATAAATAGATCTGTTTAATAAGTCTGTTTTGTTTAAATGCAACAGAATACATTGCCTATTTACATTAATAAATGGATAAAACATTTCATTTTCAAAATGGGCTGTACTCAATTTTGCTGAGCACTGTATGTAAATAAATATTCTTCTCAAACCAAATTCCAGTTGAATTGAAAGTTAATATTAACATCTAATATTTGCTAAAAATATAGTTCAGCAAATTTGTTGTTTGATAAATGTTGTTTCAAACTATATTTCCTAGCTATCAAAGCAATCAAAAGCTGTCTTTAACTGAAGAATAACAGCCAGGTTATCATAGTATTACCACAGTACTTTGTGTGTGGTTTAGAATCCTCAGAAAGAAACGTTAAATTATGCAATATTATCCTCCAACAGTCAAGCCTGTTATCCTGCCTCTCTATACTCACTGACCACCTTGTGCTATACTGAAGAAATCACTGTACATTACCGTCCAGAACATCACCTGAACTGCGCGTTTCAGCCTCGCCAACGCAGCAAACCAAACTTTAACCGCGTGTCCTCTTCATGTTTAGTCAAGAAAGCAAAGCAACACGATAATCCATGAAGAGCAAACTGTTATTTTCCTGTTACGCGCGTGCGGAGAGAGCAATCCGGTCTACTTTCTGAAGTGAGCTCGGTCGCTGTTAGTTCAGAACCACCGTTTGCTGACAACACAGTGCGGTCCATGTCGAACCTTTCACGTGGAGTTCAAATCGTGACAGTTTGTCTACCTGAGCTCAGGTGCAACGAGTGTTTCATCCAGGCTGGGATTCCCTTCAGGCGGCTGAACGTCACGGTGTCTCTCTCTCTCTCTCACTCTCTCTCTCTCATCATGGACTGACAGCCACCTGAGTTTCAGCACTGTCGCACTCTACTATAACCATCTACAATATATTTAACCTAGGAGAGGAAACAAATGAACGAACTTACCCAAATGAAGCCAAATTGTTCGGCGACTGCGCGACCATTAACGGAGGAATAAAATAGCGAAGTTTTTGGCGTAGTTAATATCGCGGCTGAGCGACCTCAGCGGTTCCAGCGCTGCTGACGTAGGCTGATGATAAAACGTACATTTGCATGTATGTAAAGTCTTCTGCGATTGGTCGACGTTGAAAACGTTCGCTAGAAAAAACTGGGAAGCCTGTTTTAATTGTCAAGTTGACTTTTAGCAAAGATTAACAGCATACGCATGTCATTTTACTAATAACGAGTAACATAATTGTACTGTACGCAAAAAAACAAGTTAGAACGCAGATCAAACAAGATGGCCGTGCCGGGACGTCAGCCTATAAGCGAGGCTTTTACATTGCTCGTGAATCAGCCTATGGTAGTGGAAGCAGTGGGAGGAGAGAAGTGGAGAAAAGTTGGTGTCGGTGCCTCTGATATTTGATCACCTCTGCTGGATCTTTTGGGAACTGCTTCTTGTAACCACTGACATGTCAAGTACAGCAGAAGCTGGATTATATCAAACAGTTATCAGTTACCAAAATTACTTTACCCAGCACCCATTCATACTCACATATTCACTGCATAATATTAAAATACCTTAAATGTTTATAAACCTTAATAGCTTACAATTGTTCACTTTATATACATACAAAATTAATATGTCACACATACAATAAAGAGAAATATTAAAGTTTGAATATTTTTGCTTAACTTACCAGTGTTTGCTTTTCACATCAAGAATAAATGTATATGCCACACATAAAACAAAGTGCATAACTATACAAAAGTATTATAAAACTTACCAGTTTGCTTTTCACAGCAAGATTATGTAGGTCACACCCTTTACTTGTAAAATAAGTATTTTTCCCCTAAAAGCAACACAAATAAAAAGGCAGGCAGTCAACAAATGTGTGATTCATCCACGCGCACATACCCACATGAGATTCTCACCATTAATAATCTCTTTTATTGAAAATGTCTTAATCACGGAAATGATACTGCCAGCAAACACCATTTCAGACCAGTTTCACCGTTTATGCATTTATTTGCGTTTAACAGATTTAAAAAATAATATTACATTACTTACACAGCTGGGCTCAAATCAGTATTCTCACTGACAGCCCAAAATAAACATTAAAAAGAAAAAAGGGGGTATTGTAAAAGAGCAAAATGTCTAAAATTTAAACAATCATACATTTCTAGATAAATATATGAGATGTTTGGACTCTGCTATAGAGGCCACTGATTTAATCGAACTGCTCCACTATTTACACATCAAACCCTTTTAGATCAAACCATTAGGACAATAAAAGTGAATTACATTACTAAACAATGAGGATTAACTTAGTGTCTTAATGAATAGTATATGTCTTGCTCTGTAATTTACATTTAAAACCATTTCATACACAGGTTATTACAAAAAAAAAAATACTCAAAGCTATAAATATGCAAAATCAAGGTGTTCTGTCCCAGTTTATGATTGTTTGTTTGAAATTACAACTATTAAGCAAGATTTTAGAGAAAGGAAAACCAAATGGAAACCATATTAAATCTGTAAAACAATTAGTTAGAAACCCAAAAAGAGATCATTTAGAAGAGCATGACCTACACACAGAAGCGAGGTGGTTTGTTGTGCCTGAAAACATCAACATGTGCAATTAACAGTACTTTCTAGAACCATCTTCTGTGCGTTCAAGCATCAGCATTGAAATGAACGATTGGGGTCTTCGGGGCTATACCAGGTACAGGACTATGGTTCTTAAGCCATTATACCAGTTTAAAATGATTTGTTTTCTTTAAAGCTGAGCGAGAGTTTTGCGAATGAAGATGAAGTTCATAGAACTGCATCAGACTTCGATATATGTGTGGTTCGGTGCAGCCACAGTAGCATAGCGCCCCTTTGGTGGACAGACGGAAGCACTGAAATTTCACGTCTGAAGGGGGTTGTCCTCTTTGCTGAAAGGCTGAGTGGAGCCAGGCTTCACCCAGGAAAGTCCAGACACCGGAAGGCCTTTGTTAAAATCCTCAGGTCGCCGCTGCAACAACAACAACACAAGAAGGCCATCGGTCAGAAACACAAAGGGTGTTATTAATATATTCACAAATATTAGCCTTTTAGCCAACCCACAGTTATGAAGAGCAGAAGGAGAACTGGAAACAGGAAAGGAAACAGTGTTCCACACACAAGCTCATGCTTTAAAACAAGGCATGCATCAGATACCAGGAAGAAGCCAGTTTTTACTTGGTTGTGGGGAGCAGTCAGGGGAGCGTCACACACTCACTTTATGTGCAAACATCTTCTCTTTCGCCTCTTCATGCACCGCTGGATTCCACGGGGAGAAGCTGCAGAAAACACAAACATCAGATGCAGGAAAACAAATGAACCAAAGTCCAGTCTGATGACTCAATGCTGAACTTTTAACCCCACCAAAAGATACTAGATTCTGGTTTTATTTTTTTTAAAGAATGAATCCATATCTCAAATTTACACTGTAATCAGGCTGCATTTACACTGTACTTAATTTCAAGATCCAATCAGGTCTCCTCTCGACTAAAAAGCTCCATGTGAAACAGCAAATGAATGGCAGCCTGAAACGAGAGTTCTACAGATGTGTTTCTGTGTTTTTCCCACACCAGGAGGTGGCAGTAATTCCATAATGGGAAACCGGAAGGCCAAACCCACACAGATAAAGCATTACCAAATAATCACAGTACTTGTCACTCACCACAAGAAATTCACTTGTGCAAATATGTTTGATAATCTAATAATCCATATACTGTTTGCTAATAATTGAAACTGCACCCGCCTACTTCTGTGTTCCATCTTCACTAGAATCTTTTGCTTTGTCTCATCACAGTTTTTGTTCTCGCACTCTGATTCATTGCCAAATAACCAGTGAGAGTGTTCTCTCCAGCTGACGCCGATTCTACATGCTGAATCAGGTCAACTGACTGTGACGTTAACCTGACGATAGGTGACATGTGGAACAAACCAGCAAGTCTGATGCTGACCCGGCTGCCCAACACTGCCCAGCTATCAGCTAGGTGTGTGCCCTGGCCTTTTGACAGGTGAATATAAAATGTTTCTATAATTTGAGCAGTTCTTTGACTTTAAATGAATACAATATTTGATCATCAAACTTTATACAATGACTACTTGACAAGATAAAAGGTTAGTTAACAACAATTTACATTCTCCCATTATTTAAATCACTATCATGTCATTGCAAATTATACATAGCCAAGTACACTGACAAGTTAGCAGAAACTAAACTTTTGTTTAAAAAAAAAAGGGATGCATTTTCCAGTTGAAAGGGTCAATCATCAGTCACATTTATGGTCACGTACATCTGTGGGGTCTGTCCAGACTCATTTATCTGTTACTACTGTGTGTTTGTGTTGATTTTGACAGGATAAAAAGACATCACAACATCCCAACATCCTCCAGTCTTTCCTCATGTTTTGTCTGTTGTTCTGCGTTTAGAACCACATCCTCTGGTTACCATTAAAACATCCATTAAGGAGATTGGGGTCATGACTAGGCATGGGACAATAGCTGTTTAAGGTATACAGTCGTTTGGAAAAGTCAAGGTTTTAAAAATCGCCAAAATTTTCTGTTGTATCATTCCTACAATTGTTTGTTTGTTTTTTAGCACAGTATCACCAGCAGAAAAGAAATCCAAAGATGCTATGTTAAATTAGAAAAGAAATCTGTGTTTATGAAACTAATGAATACTCCAGAATTCAATGATTAATTTAAATTAATTGGCCTGACATGTTTACTGCTCTAAAATATTTGAAATGTTTCACAAAACAAAATATATTGGCTGTGTCCGAAATTGCCTACTACTTAATAGGTACTGCATTTGAATTTACTACTCAAAAATTACGCTCTATACAGTATGAATGAAGCTCGGACGCATTACATCCGCCATTTTATCATGATCACATGACACGCCTGCTTCACTCCCATTCATGAATGCTCTCGCAGTGCATCTTGGGATAATGTAGTGTCCATTGGGTGCACACTTCAGAATCTCGCCAGAAGAAGTAGGTCATCCAGGTACTTCTCGCATACTGTTTTTTTGAGTTCTATGAATTTTTTTACATACTACTCAACTCACCGTTTTAAGCATAATATATAGGATGGAAGTATGCAATTTCGGACACTGCCATTGTGTTCAAAGCGGGGAAAAAGTTCTTTTTTTTTTTACCCAGAGATTTAAATAGAATATATTTTAGAGCAGTAATCACAAAACCATGATATTTTTATCCAAGGTTATCAGATAGTCAGAATCTTATGCCAGCCCATGCCTAGTCATAATAACCTTATTTATTTATTTGCCCATGCACAGCAGCTGGAGCAAACTGAAAATGACATGTTTTAAACATGATTCAAGAGTTCACACTTAGATATTGCTTGACACTATTTGCAGGTTTGGCATGCTGTCCCGGGAGAGAACCCTGAGCTCTGAGATAATTGAACCCAGAACTCCCGCCTGGTCAATTGAGCATGTAAAGGGAGTATAAGATCAGGTAGTTCTCGAGAGCTCCCAGTGGTAAAGGAAGAAAAGGGGAGAAGGGTTGGATGGGGGATTTCTTTGGAAAACGATGTTAATGGAGTAATTTTTTGCTAGGCTACTTATAGTGAGTTTGGATTAATCTGATTAGCCAACTAATGATTGTAGATGAGAGACCAGCTGCAGTCAATCATATCACGTGCTCCTCTCGAAATTAGTTTGTGAAACTTCACTTAGGGTTAAAGCAACAACAACAGGGGCCTGTTTCAGTAAGGAGTTTCAACCAACTTGGAGTTTAAACTTGAACACTGAGTTGATTTATCGAGAGATTAAAAACTCTGAGTTTTCAGTTTCATAATAGCGGATTTGATTTAGTTCAATCAACTTTGAGTAGATCAACTCAGAGTTAAGTGCACACACTGCGACTATAAAAAGGCATTATCAATGGAGCGCAGATATTACAAGTCACCATGACAACGTCTTAAAAAGAGATCACCATTTCTTTCTCCAGCTGAACTTGATGTGCTCAAGCAAAGTTATAGCAAATATGACCATATATTTTAAAAAGCAACACCACTGAAAGAATGATAATACCATTAATCTAGTAACGGAAAATGTCCATGTTGAAGGTCAGTGAATTTAAGCTAATAATTTATTAAAAAGGTCAAGCCATTCTCACATGTGACTTTGTTCTTTGTGTGACTGAAATGTAGGCAATAGCTATGTTTCCATTCAAATATATTAATTAAATTTATGTGCAAAACTGGAATAACGCATAAAAGATGTGCGAACAAAGCAGTGTTTTCATCCAACGAATCAAAGAGACCAATATAGTCACTTCCTGATTAACTGGCACCAATAATCAGCATTAAAAACAGAATTTACTGCGATAGAAGAAGCTGTGTCAATCTTTTCTTTACTTAATAAATGTACTTGCACCTCAGAAGACAATGTTGACACACAATGAACACGTGGGGGCGTTTGAAGCCATGAGATGCATAGAACAGACGCTCGCTCCAGACGCTCTGGAGGTCATTAATAATATAATAACATTAATACTGAAACATTTAAGGCATTTTAGAATGACCAAAACAACATTTAAGATGTGTTATAGTGTGCTCAGCCTGCTGGTTTGTCCATTCACACACATTTTCATCATCATGTGATCTCTTATAACAAACCTTTTTTAATGCATATAGGCCTATTATAATTTGTTCAGTAAAAAGTGTTTCCATCATAGTTTATGCGCATCTTTTCTTATCGAATAAAAGTTTATCCTACTTAGTTATGTACATGTTGTTTTATGCAAATTTTAAAAAGTTATGTGCATCATGACATTTCCATTAATCGTTTTTATGCGCATCTCCAAAATAGGCATTAAAATAGGTGGATGAAAACGTAAGATTATGGCAAGAAATACAGCTTTGTCTTTAAAAAAGGGGAGGAGACCGACAGTAAGTTAGAGTTTAGAGAATAAAACCTGCTCCTGACCAGGTTAGGTTCACAGAGTAAGTTACCACGGTAACTGACTCAGAGTTAAAAAGTTACCTCTCTTTCAGAAACAGACTTGACTTACCCTGCTTTCTCCAGTTTAACAAACCAGCCATTATGAAACAGAAAACCCAGAGTTTAAATACACTCTAAAAAATAGGAACCATTTAAAAAAAATGTTAAACTATACTAAACGTTTACTATTTTAGGCCCGTTAGGATTACCTAAATAATTTACATTTGCTAAATGCCAGAATAATGAGATAGATTTTTTATAAATTTATTAATTAATTTAATTTATCAATTAATTAATTTGGTCAAATGTTTTGCTTGCACAAGCTTTTTCAACTCTTCTCACAAATTTTCTATAGGATTGACAACAGGGCTTTGTGATGGCCACTCCAAACATTCACTTTGTTGTCCTTAAAAGCACATTAACTAATTTGGCAATATGTTTAGGGTCATGGTCTGTTTGAAAGACCCATTTGTGGCCAAGTTTTAATTTCCTGGCTGATGTCTTGAGATGTTACATCAGTATTTCTACATAATGTTCTTTCTTCATGATGCCATCTATGCTGTGAAGTAGACCAGTGCCTTCTGAGCAAAACAGCCCCACAACATGATGCTGCCGCCCCCATACTTCACAGCTGGGATGGTGTTCCTAGGCTTGTAAGCTTTCCTCTTTGTCCTCCAAAATGTAACACTGGCCATTATGGCCAAACAGTTCAATCTTAGTTCCATCAGACCACAGGACATGTCTCCAAACATTATTATTTTTCCTAATGTAATTTAGCTAATTGTAATCTGGCTTTTTTGTTGATTCTGGCTTGTTGATTTTCCCATGTTGTCATAAAAGGAAGCAGTGTATTTGACTTTCAACTTGACTTTCAAGAAAATATATAACTATTTCTCAAAAAACAAATCTCTCTTATTATTCTGCTATTAACCATAACCGAAACAAATTAGATAATCCTAACTAACCTAAAAGAGAAAATGTTTAGTCACATGGTTATGTGCCTTTTTATACAGTGAAGGTAAACTTCTGGTTTCAACTGTAGATAGGACTTTGGTTTTGGATGCACTGAATGAAGGCGTTGCAAATATGGCCGTCAAGTTAACTGTCTTTCCTTGACTTTGATCAACCTCACCTTGTGGTTGCACAAAGTTACAATTTAGACATACAGACATCAGAAACACATCAGATTTAAAACTATATTTTGAAATGGCTCAAAACTAATGCAAAAAAAAATAATCTTGAAGTAGTGTGGAACATTGACCCGTGCAGCAATATAAAATCTCCAAATCAGTCCAAATGGCATTTTTTTAAATGTTTGTTTAAGAGTGTCAGTGTAAATGCAGCCTCAAAAACCAAAATGAAGCAACAAAAAAAAAACAACAACAACAATCCGAGTGCTGCACTTGCCTTATTGCATAAGGATCATCTATCTTGGGCTGATCAAACAGGTGACTATTGCATAGCTTGACACTGTCTACCACCTTACTTTTGAAGAGCTGGATGTCTTTGTCATACCTGCACAGAACACAGTGATATTATTAAGCAAAAGGAGACTTCAAAACAAGCTCTTAACATTGGGAGGTACGGCTAAGAGGAAATGAATGTGGGGGGCAAGCTAAACAAGCTTTCATCTTCATGTGGGAAGCCATGTCTGAGGTTGGACTACGGTTGTAAGCACCATATGACTTCAGTTAAACAGGAAGTCAAAAAACGCAGCTCGCACTAGAACAGGCAATGCCCAAACACATTACAGAGAGTGTGGTTGCTTTATTTTACTATGAAGCAAAAGCAACTTGAGTGGCTGACACTTATTTAGTGACTTTCACAAGTGTTAATGCTGGGAACAGTTCAAACATCAGAGACTATGAAATGACACCGAATCTATTACTCACAGCACAGCAGCCTCTGGGTTGAGTGGCTCCATAGTGTTGATCTTATAGAAGATTGTGCGGGCGTACATAAGCACCTGCCAGATATGATTGTGGTTTCGTCTGCAAATGTAGATAAATGTTTAAATGGATGTATAAATTGAAATTAATAAATACAAAACGTTGCCCATAGTCACAAAAATGAGACCCTTAGATTGAAAACAGCTCAGATAAGAATTTGTATTTTTTCAACTGACCTCCATTTGGTGAAAGCTCTCCTCACGTCAAGCTCACCAGAAACTGGGTCCACTAGTGGGTGGAAAACTGGAGTGTCAAAAACAACCTTCTGAAAGAACACACAGAAACACAAGCAAACATAAGAGGACTAATAGACATTGAAGTCAAGTCAAGGTTTTTGGCATTTGATTTTTTTCTAGTGATTCAAGATTAGGTAACCATTGTTATATTTAGATTAATTTGTTCATTTCTGTGACTTTTCCCAAACATAGATAAACAGAAATAAAGATACATCAAACTCTGTGAAGGAAATATGAAAGTAAAATAAACAATTTGACAATGTTGCCAATAATGTTCTGTTCTAGACACACCCTAATGTCATCACATCAGTTACAAACATTGAGTATTTCAACATTTCATTTGGCCTCATATCTTGCCAACAATGATGACTAACTATACCATAACTAACTTAGAATATCCATCTAGTCTGCAGAGGTGAAATTTTTGTTTTCGTATTTATGCTACCTTAACATTGTGACAGTGTAAATGAATAGTCATAACACAGCAAAAAAAAAAGTAATGTTACATTTAAAAATTCAGTATATATTACTTACCGGACAGTCTCCATCTGGATAGTTATCAGGAATGTAGACGGTGAACTTAAACACACCATCTTGGTACAAACCATGGCGAATGAAAATCACACCAAACCACACTGCAACAGAAATAACATACAGGATACTTGACAGAGCAAATGCAAATCAATTTAACTTTTCAGCTTGGTTTCTGAACACAGATTTGTTGATTTTCATCAATTTGACGACAGAAAACTCAATGATTGATGATGCATTCCATTCAAAAACAGATGTAAGAGACTTCAACGCACTATGACTTGTAACCAGTTCTGTGGTTTGATGTTCAAAAGACTGTTATAAGACAGTTCAACCAAAAAAAGAAAGGGGTCACCATATTTCACCCACTTCTGTTGAATACAATAAGAGACTTGTAAAATGAAAGTCAACTCCTATTGAAGTCACCGGCTAACTTTAACTGTTTGGTTATCAACATTTTTCACAACATCATCTTTGGTGTTCAGCAGCAGAAAAAGAAAAAAATTCTAATGTAATTTTCCCACCAGTTAACTGATGTGTGATAACACCAGTAATACCAGTATAACCAGAGGAGGGGTGCTTTTAAATGGCTTATTAAATCTGTGAGCCATTTAATTAGTTTCACATTCACATTAGTGACAGTTGAGTTATCCTTATATTATCAAGATTTTTTTAACTGCTCAGCAGCTCATGTTTGTCTCCCTTTTCTGTGAGTCTGCTTTCCTGTCGAAGATAAGTTCAGCTTCCTTTGTCACCCTCTTGCTATCATTAACATCTTAAGACTTGTGCACACCGGGACATTTTACACCATTTAACAAAGGTCACCAATGTAAGTGCACACCATGCCATGCATAAAAGCGTGATTTAAAAAAATAAAAATAAATCTCTCTCTCTCATTAAAAAAAAAAAAAAAAAAAAAAAAAATTATATATATATATATATATATATATATCTATCCTTGCCCTGGTAACAGCTGTTTGACCAATAAGGCTGGCACTTTTTACTTTTTGCTCATTTTCAAAACAAGAAATGCGGTAATTGGTTCACTCGGTAGCTATGGGGACGTGTTCAATAATATAGCATAAGAGGAATTACTAGCATACTTACAAGAAATTACAAACGGTATGCACAAAAGTCTCACATAAAAAAAATACACTAGTCATGTTCTTATGGGGGAAACTATTGATAAAACATAGAAACTATCGACCTTTTTATATTTTTGGGTTTCTCAGTAGTGGAAGTCGTTATAGTTGGGTAAACTTAGAGCGCAGTGAATGGGAGAGTACAACTAATTTTTACAATCCTATTTGCTAAAATAAAAACAATAAAATAAACACACACAATATTGTTAACAATACTTTCAGAGAAAGAAAATAAATTGTATCAGGCTGATAACGACAGCCAGGAGAGAGAACAACAACAAATTTACTGTCCTCCCCATAGACACTGCATTAGAAACACCACAGAGGCAATTCGCTTTTTGTAATTTAACCCAAAGTCAATATAATACATGCATAAATACATATAAATGTTCATATGTTTGTTTTTTTGTTTTTTATAAAAATATTTAAAACTTTAAAAGATTTAAGATTATGATGACCGTTAAACATAAAAAAAGCCTTGTAAAAAGGGTTCATTAGGTTCCATTTAGATTTGAGCAAACATGAACGTGACATTGTTGATTGGTGCTGTGAGCAGCGACTGCACAAAAATCATCCAGAAATCTGAAGCTGGTGGCGATTTAACTACTTCCTACGTCCTATCTGAAAGGCCTGTTTTTTTTGTATCCAACTCCTGCCCTAACCTGTGATGCAACCTGTTCAGTTTTATATTGAAATATTTTTACTCTAACAGAACAAAATTATTCTTAATACTATACAATATACCAAAAAAATCTCAGTGGCTCAGTGGGTAGCACTGTCACCTCAAAGCAAGAAGGTCGCTGGTTCAAGTCCTGGCTGGGCCAGTTAGCACTTCTGTGTGGAGTTTGTATGTTCTTCCCGTGTTGGCGTGGGTTTCCTCTAGGTGCTTCAGTTTTTCAAAATCTAAAAACATGCGCTATATGTGAATTGGGAAAACTAAATTGGCTGCAAGTATGAGTGCGCGTGTGAATGCAAGAATGTATGTTTTCCCAGTACTGGGTTGCAGCTGGAAGGGCATCTGTAAAATATATGCCAGAATAGTAGGCAGTTCATTCCAATGTGGCAACCCCCGATAAACAAGGGACTAAGCTGAAGGAAAATTAACGAATAAAAATATCAAAACGTCTGTGGTGACGCAGTGGGCAAATGACAGAATCAGTGATGCTGTAACAATAACACCATCAACATTGACCATCACACCAAGCCTAAGATGTAGGTTTATCATTAATCACGCACCTCACCAAGACTAAATATCTACATGCTAACAGATGTAAAATTCCTCAAAAGGTTTCAACAAGACGTTAATTAACTGCACATTCTGTTGCACTTCTCTAAGCAGGAAGTTGAAAATTCTTTTGGAGTCGAATGGAATGCAGCAAAAGAACATTCTGTATAAAGAGCATCTGTGGCAGACAGAACAGAATGGAAGAGACATTCTTACTCAGCGCTGATCTGTATGAAGGCTGTACATAGATGCCAGGAAGCTTCTGCTTGATAACCAATGTGCTACAATAGAGACAAAGTAAAATTCAACCACATACATTTCAAAATATGCTCAATTTAAGTTACTTAAATATATACTAATAACAAATTTCAATAAAACATTTTGATAGTTTTGTAGTCATAGCTTCATATAAAATCAACAATAAAAAAAAGTTAATAAATATAAACAAAGCATTACTCACAACTCAGCAAGTAGTGAGTACTCCAGGTAGAAAGGGCCGTATGAGGCATGTGTGCCATTGGCAGATTGTGTAGAAGAGGCTGGTGATGCGGCTTTAGTGATGGGGACGGCATTCTTCGGGATGGAGGGAAGTTGCTTCTTACCAAATGGAGGACGAGCTGGACTGGCTCTCTGCTCCCCTGAACCACTCTGCTCTTCACCATCAGATCTCTACACACACACACACACAAACGAACAAAATGACATTTACCCGATGGCTTTGCTATTATCTTATTTATTTATTTGCCTAAAACAAAACAAAATCTATTTTTATTTGCAAGTTTAAAATTTTAAAATGTCCCAGGTTAATGGGTGACCATCTAATACTCAGCACATATGATACCATTCAGGACTGTTCTTAAAACAACACAATCAATACTGTAAAAACCTATTAAAATAAAAAAAATAAAAATAAAAAATAAAATAAAAAAATAATGCTCCTAAAATATATAAATGCGAAAACAGTCATTCAGTGTTATTATCTAAATGCAAAAGTTTGTGGAGAACCCAATGACCAGTGTTAAAACCCCTAAAAGTAAAACCAATTTTCATAACTCCCTAATTTTCCCAACAAAGAAGATAATAATAATAATAATAATTAATAATTAATAATAATAATAATAAGAAGAAGAAGATTTTCTGCTATAGTTTATGAAAAAACAAGAAGAAATTAAAGCAGTATATGAAACAAATGAAATGTAAAGGGGGGAGGGGGGGACAAGATCTTAATCACATCATGTGATTCATTCCCCTTTATGAAAGCACAAGTTCATATGACAGAGGCAAAAAAAACTTGTTTGTCAGTTTCCACATTTGTCTTTAATGACTATGCTTTCACCTACAAATAAATAACCAGCAAAGTTTCATAGACTTACTAAAACCTAATTTTTAGCACACTATATATAAATTCATTACACAGATTTTCTTCTGATATAAGCACAGTGACCAGAACTTCACCCAAACCTGACTATTAAAATCAAAAGAGTGTGAAGATAAACATCAGAAACTAGCAGAAGCCTGAGACATCACGAAAAGAAAATTTAACACCAAACCGCTTCAGCTATTCAGCAAACAGACTGTAATGAAGCCAATGAAAACAAAAAACAGATGAATACCACAAATACACCCTTCAGACAACGTACAAACAGCTAGACCAAGTATCTATCATAAATCAACAAGAGTGAACAGTTGGGTCATGAGTCAGCATCTATTAGGAAACAGCTGAATTTAACGTCTTAATGACAGCTGCAACACCACACCACACTCAGACAACACCTTTGAACAACAGACAATCTGCCAAGTCAGAAGCATTAGTTGACTGTAACTTTCAGCTTTTCAATAATAAAAGTCACTAGCCTTCATCATTCTTTATGAAAAACATCCTCCAACACCACATGAGTTTGAGACCTTACTGAAGAGGCAGATCTACGCAAAACAACCTTTAAACCCTGAGCCTATCACGTGATTTCTTATTGAAGTCCCTGTTTTAAACCAGTCCATTCCTCACTCTCGCTTGCTTTTCTCTCCCTTTGCAGCTATTAAGGTTTCAGGTAAATGACATTAAGAATATGCTGCAGAAAATTTAAACAAGTATCTCATAAATTAAATTATTAAAAAAAGAACCATAGAACCATCTTTCAACAAGAGTACTATTTTTGAGGCATTGCCTGAAGTCAGTCAACCTTTGACTCATAAGCAAGGCTAGCATGATTTGGAGACATTTATTGCCATTTCTGCACTAATAAAAAAATTAATTAATAAATAAAAAAAATCTGTGGATTCATGTGAAAAGATTGAGAGAACAGTAACTAATAACTTAATAAAAATTATTATAAAAAATAATAACTTTAGCATTAATTTAAGATTTACAATATATATATATTTAAAGAAAAACAGCAAATGTATTGTAAACAAGTGATTTAAACATTTGTACATTAGACAGTCATAATACTTGAAATATGAATAAACACATATTTACACATTTACAAAAGTAAAAAAGACTTAATGATGGACTAAAAATCTGCATATTTCTGTACACGCAGATCTTATGTGGGCCTACTCATAAGTAGGCCCACACAGAATCTGTTCCTGCAGAATTCCGCAGATTTTTAGCCCATTATTGATTCTGTTTATTTACCTGTGTAAATTTATATTTATTCAGTTTTAAAATAAATTCAGTAATATTACTCACTAATATGAAAATACTTAATGATTTGTTTACATTACAGTTTGTAAAGTAATATTTTCTGTTTTTTAGTACAGTAGATATATTATATGAGAGACTTGCTTTGTTTACCTAATAAAGTGGATCTGTTTGGATTTGCATTGTAAATATTAAATACAAGTTAAAAAGGTATTACTTTTTATTTCATTTATTAAGGTTTTAATTTTGATACTCCCAAAATCATTCCTTATAAATCTGCAAATTTTAACCAAAATTCTATGCAGAAATAGCAAAAAATCTCTCCCGTGTGGGCCTACTCATAAGCCACATCATGAGCTGATTTAATAGACCAAAAATAACAAGGATCAAGAGATCAAAGGTTTTCATGAAAAGACATGCAGGAGAGCTGCCATACTTCACCTTACGACCAGCGTTTGTAGACATGCTCCAAAATGGGTTCATTACTCATTGAGCTCTAGATGGGTGTGTGCTTGCTCACTTTTGGGTGGCATCCGAAAAATTTGCTGTGAGAGAAAGAAAGACCAACAGAAAGAAAAAGCGCTGATGAGAGCCTGGACATTTGGAGAACACAATGGGCAACCTGATGCTGTATGGCAGCTGGTGGCAATCCAATCCCTATGAACCATGTTGCTGCCTGTGTTTGTCATGAGGACTTCAGTAAACTACATTTTAATTCAGAGGTACTCAATCTGTGAGATGCCACAGAACCACAAATGTATGATTATTCTTGTGCACAAACACCCATTTTAAAACTTAAAAGGAAGTTACATGATTGCATAAAACATTTACTATTTAGTATTAACATTAAGAAAACATTATGTTTTATATAAAAGAATACTATGCGCATTACATAAACTATTATTTAAAACAAATCTAGTTCCTACTACATTACTGCATTTTTTTCTCGGTTTACATCGACTTAAAATACAGTACTGCATTTTTGTTTACATTAACTGTTTGATTTGTTTATTATAATTGATTTATAAAATTAAAATATGCACTCCAAACTTTTTTACGTTGATTTCTTTATCCATCATTTACAGCAATTCCAAATTGCCTAGTTAGTCATTTTTCATTATAAAGCGTAAAGCATTAGTCGGTACTCTGTATTGGCCGATCCTGATGAAAGGAATCGTTACTCGGTATAGGTTGCAAAAATCCTGATCGGAGCATTCCTATTTATTATTATTATTATTATTATTATGTTAGAGATTTTATCATAAACAATGTTTTATTCATTAAATTGTATATTTTTTACAATTTCCTTCTATGAATCATTTTAAAAGGCAGTTAGTATGAATAAATAACTTGAACCCATGAGATAGAAGTGTGTAATAACTAAGTTGAAAAATATTTAGATTCAATCACATTACAGCATTTTTATACTACATACAGTACTCTAAAAGGTGATGTTTATGTATGATCTATTGCTTTTAGTTACTTTAATCAAGGTTTAATTCCTACGTTTTTAGTTTATGACTTAATACTTAAAATGTATTTGTGTAATGCATTTTCCCCTCTAAACTATTCCAGGCAGCGAAAATACATAAACAACAGTGGTTTGAACATACATCAGAAGTGACGTTTCTCTCATGGTTGTAAAAATGCAATTATTAACCTGACACCTACATATATTCTTCATATAATTCATATCAAATATACAAGGTGGAGAAAATTTGAAAAGGTAACATTATATGTGGTGACATACAGTATGTCAACGCCTGAGACACTGGAAGAACCGCCGCAACTAGAATCTCTGAACCTTCGAAAAACAAATGTATTGCCCTCATTTCTAGCAGACACCGCTTCAGAAAGCTTTGTTTGAGGACAGGTCATTTAAACAGTTTAATTAACTATGCTTAGGTGAAAACAAAGACTGCAAAAGCATAGTATGACACCATGACACTAACGTTATTCGTAACTAGACTAATGCTAGACTAACAGTTAGCCTGTTTTAGCCAAACAACCATAAAAATAACGAGTTTCCACTTACCTGCGACAAATAATGTCACCTGGCTAAAGACATACTACACGCTAAATTGTCGGGTTTCAAACATTTTGATTTGGACTGGCTTTTAACCATGTGCGGTAAACTAAACCACCGACGACACTGTTATCCGAATAATCTCACACAAATACTGAACACACCGCTAACAAACTTGACAGGAAAAGGCGGAACAAAAACACAACTGAGACACGGTGATTGGTTCTCATCATGAGTGACAAGCCCTTTATCCATTGAAAATTTCAATAGAGCAAACCACAAGGTTAAATGCCTCAGGTTGACGTTTGGACAGCAAATATTTGTCACATACCTATCATTTTACAAGCAAAATGTTGAGGCATGACAGGAGTGGCAAAGCGTTTCGCTAAAATTGTTTTAAATCAGTTGACACTACGCTTGCTTCCGATTTTTTCGTCTCAGATTGTGAGCTGAGCGATTTAACGAGGGCGAGCCGTGTATTTAGTCTTAAAGTAACGTTATGACATGCATTGGCGCACCTCCGTTTAATACGCATAGATATTTCTAACATTAGAACGGACTTTGAGAAACTTACCGGGCTAAACTCAGGACATTTCACACGTTTTAAAACATTTAGGATCCTCCCTCCCCATTGACTGACGGCACGGAATGTACTCGCACTGACGCCTTCTGTCATTGGCTTATAGAGACGCAGAGTACACTCTATTGGTGCTTTTACCTGTTCATCATCTCAGACCAAGACAGTAAATCTGGATTGGCCTTTTTATTTATGCTTTTATCTGAAAAAGATATAAATTATTACAACTTTAGATCTCTGTGTATTAAAAGGTTGTTACATTGTCCCCTGTAATCTCTTGATGGAATAATATAGAGATTTGAAATGGGGAAAATATGGTCATTGCAACAAAAATAAGATCTATATATATATATATATATATATATATATATATATATATATATATATATATATATATATATATATATATATATATATATATATATATATATGTTTTAAATTAATCAACAAATTTGATCCTATCAGACAATTCATGCAATTAAATAAAATATAAATAAATATAGGCAGCATTTTGGCTCAGTGGGTAGCATGATCGATCGCCTCACAGCAAGAAGATTGCTGGTTTGAGCCCCGGAAGGGTCAGTTGGCATTCCTGTTTGGAGTTTGCATGTTCTCCCTGTGTTTGCGTGGGTTTACTCCGGGCGCTCTAGTTTCCAGCACAAGTCCAAAAACATGTTTGTTTTTTTATTGCACTAACAACAGGCCATTACAACAAACAGAAATACAAAACTGATAGAAGTATAATACAAGCAATACAACAAGAGAATTGCAACAAGAGAAATGTAACAATTTTAAAATAAATATAATAAAGGTAAGTCCAAAAACATGTGGCACAGGTGAATTGGGTAGGCTAAATTGTCTGTAATGTATGATTTTGAATGAGAGTGTATGCTTCCTACTGATGGATGGCAGCTGGAAGGCCATCCGCTGCGTAAAACATATGCTGGATATGTTGGCGGTTCATGTGGTGACTCCAGATTAATAAAGAGACTAAGCTGAAAAGAAAATGAATAAATATAAATATTGATGTAAAATATTGATGATTTATTTTGGGATTGTAATTATGTTGTTCTTTTTGGAAACATATTCGATAATTTATTAATGATAACATACAACAATATGTTTCTGTTAGTTTTAAAGATATTAGTTTTGGAATTTGTCTCTACTAAAAGAAATGCTCATTTTGTTATAAATTAAATTTACTTTCTTTGTAAATATGCACAAGTGCAAATTTACTAATACCAAACCATAATTTCCTGTTTATTTGTTTTTGTTGGAAGAATTTAGTCATTATTTAAATATAATTTCATTATCTGCAAATAAGAACGCAAACAGAACTTTTTCATTTTGTAATGACTTTAATTCATACACTGTAATTGGTTCTTAAACGTCTAACCCTTTAAGTTTATATCATGTTCTTATTTCTTATTTATACACTCTCAGAAATAAAGGTACAAGGGCTGTCACTGACTTGGGTGGTACAAAAATGTACCTAAAAGGTCCATATTAAAAATTGTAGGTCATTTATACTTTTGAGGTACCAATATGAACCCTTTTAGTACAAACGTGTACCTTTTGAAAAGGTACCACCCCAGTGTGACAGACCACGTATCTTTATTTCATATTCGAGTGTATTTTATTATCTTTATTTTTCTTTATATTTCTTTCTTTCTCTCTCTCATCTCTTTTGTCATTAACAATGTAATTCATAATCTGATATAAACAATGCTTTATATGTAACAAAAATCTATTGCTGTATTAATTTCATTTTCTATTATTAATATTTTGTTCCATAAAAACTACTATAAAAATATATATGTTTGACAGTCTAACTGAATTCCTCTCTCTCTCTCTCTCTCTCTCTCTCTCTCTCTCTCTCTCTCTCTCTCTCTCTCTCTCTCTTTCTCTCTCTCTCTCTCATGTAAATACATTTCTAGAGCCATATCTCGTTAGGCATACAGAAAAAAAAAAAGCCACAAAGAAATACATTATCAGCACACTCGGGGATTGGCAAGATATTTTGCAGTTTCCCCTTCAGAACAACAGAGGGAGTCAAACACACAGAATTAAAGTAAATCAAAAATTTCTTCAATTGACTGATTTGACAAGGCTCTTGGTTCAAAAAAGCTGTACTGTCACTATCAAAAGTATCATTGATGATGTCATTACATGGTCATGTTTCCTAGTGCCAACAGCACACAGTGTTTTTCCTGTTTACTTATGAAGTAATTACATCGTAAAATGTACCTGATGTTTGAATGATTGATTTCTTGAGGGATATGCCTAATAATAATTTATGAGGACATAGAGAAAAAGGAAAAACTAATTTACCGCTTCAGCGATTTACCTAATTGAAGAAAATGACATTGTCCAGGACTGAAAGTGGAAGCTAATTATTGACTTAATTATTGTTTAATTATCTGATTCCATTTTGTTTTTGAACACAGTCTGTTAATAAAAGTAATTGGCCTGAGGTTTCCAAGATGCAGCCGGTAAACAAAGCAAGGTCACTGACTCATTGACTGAATGAATTTGACTGGATTCCAGTGGCATTTCCAAAATGCAAATGTTGGACATGAAAAAGGTGATTGCACTCAGCCTCAAATGCTAATACCCTCTGACCTACCTGACCTGGACATGCTAATAATGTTGACAGCATGACTGTTCACTTTGTCTAGCAAATGAAAGAACTTGGCACATGAAAACAATCATGCAGCCTTAAACTTTAATGATAGATACATGACAATAAGTGAAAATGAGTCAACATAACATGTTCTGCTGTGAAACTGTGTCATGTTTGTGTATAATGTTCATCTGAAATGGACAAAACTGCTCAAATATGAAATTATGCTATTTTGTCATCTTGTGCTCCAATTTATTCCTCACAGGGATAGTTTAACCAAAAATGTAAATGTGCTGTAATCCAACTTTTCCAGTAGAATATAACAGCAGATTTTTAGCTGAAACAGCAGCCCTTCATGATTCATAAAAACAAAGAAAAGAAAAAAAAAAGAAAAACTAGTGATTCCTGAATACAGGTAAATCTAAATTATTACCTATGGCTCACAATGTCACACTGAGGTATTTTGAAGCAAAATTATTTATTTATTATTTATTTACATTTATTAAAAAAATTAACATTATTTACAGCATTATGACCATAAATACACTGCTACAGCAAACAGTGCTCAGTTGTCACATTTAAATATGAGCGTGCAGACATAAGAATGCTGATTGATGCTGTTTGGGGGGAATATATGTATATGTATTGTGTTGTTCATCAAAATACTTTTGCTTTTTCCTGCTGCATATACAGCGCTCAGCATAACCGAGTACAGCCCATTTTGCAAATACATATTTAAATTAATTTATCAGTAAATATAGGTCATATATTTTGGTTTATTTGAACAAAAGAGATTTATTAAACAGATATATTATTTTTCGAAATAGAAAGGTAATACAGTTAAATTCATGCAAACTATTGGAAAGCAAAATTATAAACTAAAATTATTATACGTATAAAATTATTTATGTGTATAAAATCATTTATATGTATAAAATTATAAACTACATTTTATACATTTTTAGTTTTTCTTGAACTTTGCTCATTTTAAAGTTTTTGTTTAATATTTTTTCCTAACATGTAAATTTGGGTGTACTAATTTTGAACCATTATCATAAGTTATTTTTTCAGATTAGCTCCAGATTTGGATTCTGAACTTACTAATCTAATGAATATGCACAAATATAATAATGTAAGCTTCCTATAGAAAATATTAATTCAAATGAGAGATTTGTAGATGGTGTATTTATATATGATGAGCACTGTATTAACCCTTTCACACATAAGATTTAAACGCTCCTACATGAGTCTTTTATTGTGATCATTATTTACAATGCTAGGAGATGTGTTGTTTATCATGTGACACAATGCATCCTAGTAAATTATGCAGCTTTATTTTTTATTTTTTCCCCCGTTATTTCACTTCCTAACATCCTAATATAGTGAAGCACCTGATATTCTGATTCTCGATTATGTGTAAGAACATGTACTTAGTCATTTTAGCAACATAATAGTCAGATTATTATCTGAACTATTTAATCTCAGGGTGATAGGTGCAGCCATGTTAATCTGCACTTCAGTGGAGAGACAAGCACTGCTGTACTTACAACATGCTAGTTTATTAATTTCTCCCAAAATGTATGAAAGCAAGGGGCTGTTTAACCAGCAGAATAGTGTATATCTATGTGTTTCCCAACCACGTTCCAGGAGTAAACAAACCGGCAGACACAAAATGTCACTTTTTACTATGTTCTGACAGCTGCGCTGGCTGATTGTATCCCTGGTCATAGTATACTACATAGTTTGTATACATCACTTTAGACAAACTATACATTTCGAGAATGAAGTGTGGTTGCGGCTGGAAAATTTTTTTTTTAATGCATTGCAAACGGCAAAGGCGCATCGCAAGTCACTTCAGGAGGAGACGTGAATTAATTTAGGTAAACTGCAACACGGTCATCTTCTGGAAACATTACCAACAACAGCACATTAGACTATGGCAGCTGGATTAGTCCAAAACAGCGCAGTAAT